GTATTCCAAACATGCTTGCCACTGGGCATAAGAACACAATAATACACTTTGACCTCGGTGTGCTGGAGAGAGACCCAGTCAGCTCTCACTGGGTTTTAGTGACTACCTTCTAGGCAGCATGTCCTCTTTGTCAGAGAGCAAATGAATTTTCTTTAGAAACTGGTTAGGAAGCAATTAAATGCAACTGGGATTGTCATGGACTGTTTCGCAGAGTAATAGTTAGCAGCAGCGGTGTTTGCGATTGTCCTTTGTTGAGGGTCAGGTGCTATCTTGAGTGCTTTCAAATCTCCCATCAATTTATGTGTTAAACATTATCTTTCCCATTTTTATACCTTTTTTTTTTTTTGAGATAGCGTGAATGGGGAAGGGTCAGAGAGAGTGAGGGAGACACAGAATCTGAAGCAGGCTCCAGGCTCTGAGCTGTCAGCACAGGGGCCAGCGCGGGGCTTTCACTCATGAGTGAGATTGTGACCTGAGCCCAAGTCAGACGCTTAACTGAGTCCCCCAGCGACCCTCTCATTTTTATAAATGGAAATTGAGGCTTCTATTAAGAAATCAACTAAGGACATTGCATCATTAAGAGGCAAAACTATGGTTTAAATCTAGGACAGCCTGATTCTAAAGCCTGTGTTCCTAAACCGGATATAGGATGGCTGTGGGCGGACTTGGATTCTCTTGACTGAAAAATATTGTACCTTTTCAGTGGGTTGTAAATTGATTCACACCAGTCATTCTTGGAAGTGTTACATGTGATTTGCTCATTCCTGGTTGTTATAATGCTAAAAGTATTCTCATAGGGAAACCACTAGAATATAAATTGAAATCATTCAGGTTATTTGCAGGATAGTGTTGACTCTGTCCATGCTTGTTGTATTTACATTTAATTTACTCATTTAATCTCTAGAAGAACTCGAAGAGGCAATTCAATTTTCTGGTTATTTTATAAGACAAAATTAGAACTGGCCACTGCCACCAATATGCTTTGTGATTCAGTAAGGTACTGATTTTTCTGGGTTTGGTTTCCTCTCCTTTTAAAAGGGCAGAGGGGGTTGGATTAAATGATCTGAGCTTCCTTACATATTAAAATTAAGCTATACATTCCTTGTTCATAAACCATTTGGTACCTGAATGATTCAAGTATCTAGACATAAACATTTAATGAGCAAAGTAAGTTCACCTAAATTCAGAGAATGTAGATTGGTCTTTTAATTTAACTCTGTAAGCAGTAGCTAATTTGCATGAGGCTGAAATGATTTTCCATTTAACTGAAGTTGCAGAATGGTTCATTGATGATTTGATTCTGACTGACCCTTTGATAAAAATTCTGAGTCTGAACTAGTCGCATCTACAGTGAAGGGGCAGAGAGGAGTGAGCAGTATTTTCATGAAGGACTGAATCAGGGTGGTTGGAGGAAGAGGTGGTGTCTATGAGGAACACAAGTCTTTTATCGTTGTGTTTTGTCATCTTGTTCGTACAGAACTATTACAGCTTGTTGCAAACTGTAGTAATGCTGAATAGTAGAAGAGATATAGGACCTTGGGGTCCTCTTTATTTAGCTAGCATATGGGGAAAGAGAACTAGAATAGTGCACAGGCAGCTTTTGAATGGTCCTTGTTTGGAAGTGGTATACATCACTCTGGGTCTCTTGGTTGTTTTTTTTTTTTTTAAGTTTATATCTTTTGAGAGAGAGGGAGAGAGAATCCCAAGTAAGCTCTGCATTCTCAGCACAGAGCCCGATGTAGGTCTTGAACTCATGAACTGTGAGATCATGACCTGAGCTGAAATTAAGAGCCAGACGCTTAACCGACTGAGCCACCCAGGTACCCTGGCTCTTATTTTTTGGACCAAATCTCTGCCACATGGCCACACTGCAAGATATACTGAGGGTTATATTAAACTATGTGCTCAGGAAGGATAGTATAAGGTACATAGAAATACAGGTAGTTGGGAAAATAAGTGAGTGAAAAAAAATCAAGACAGTTTTTACTATAGGAAAAACAAACAGTTGTACAAGGAGGGGGATGAAATAAAGATGATAATGGGTGACATTTACTGTGTACTTTATACCAGGTACTATTCTAAGTTTTTACATTTCCCCATATTACTTTTCTTAGAAACTCTGAGATAAATACAGTTGTAATTACCATTTTACAAGTGAATTTCACCAACAGTGATGATATCACCATATTTATTGGATAAATGGGGTAGGGAATAAGGACAATGGAGTGAGTCAAGCATCATCACAGTAGGAAATAGAAATAACATAGAAGTAATATAATATCTAAAATTAAATAGATTAGCAGTATACACATGCCATTTAGAAACACAGAGGTAGGGGCTCCTGGCTGGCTTGGAGCATGCAACTCTTGATCTCGGGGTTAGGAGTTCGAGTCCAGTGTTGGGTGTAGAGATTACTTAAAAATGAAACCTTAGAAACACAGAGGTAAATATCAGTAAGCTTAAAAAGCTGGAACTCCTCAGGGTGATCATTTCAGGTACGGGGTCTGGGACTGTCCTTGTGCTATTGCATTTTCTAAACTGTTTCAATAAAAGTATGTCTTGGTATCAAAGTATTGAGAGATCAGAGGACAATGATGTGTGGGTGGTCATCATTTTTATCTTATTTTCAGATACAGCAGAAATGGTTTTGTAAATCATTAAGTAGTGGAGCCTAACACTGAAAGGGAGCCAAGGCCAGATTTCTTTTTTCTTTTCCTTTTTCTTTTTCTTATTTGTTTGTTTGTTTATGAGAGAGAGTGTGCATGTGTGTGTGCGTGTGCACGTGGGAGACAGGCAGAGGGAGGGGGCAGAAAGAATCCCAAGCAGCCTCCACGCCCAGCATGGAGCCCGACGCAGGTCTTGATCAATCCACAACTGTGAGATCGTGACCTGGAGCCAAAATCAGGAGTCAGACACTCAACCAGCTGAGCCACTCAAGTGCCCAGGAGCTGAGAATAGATTTCTAGACTGGGTTTCCTCTGCGCTTTCTTGATAAGTCACTTAACCTTTGGGCGCTCATTTCTTCAAATGTTAGTGAGAATGATGATCTCTTACATGGCTAAAATGGTTTTTAAAATTACTTTAGCTTCTAAAGTTCCATGTTTCTGGGTGTTAAACTAATTTTGTTTTTAAACAAGCACTACTGTGAATGCATCAGAGCTTCAGAGCTGGTTTTGGATGCAGCATGGCTGTGTGGTCACAACCAACCCTTGCTATTATTCTTACCTAGCATCTTCGGTAGTAGTCACTTGGCTGTAGGGTTTCTCAGTACCAGTTTATGTAAGTATTCATATAATTGAAATCCAATAGCTTTTTAAAAACCTATTCAAGTGTAACAAAGAAGAGTGTGTACCTTACAAGCTCTGAATTTGGAATATACAGCTCAGTGACTATAGTTGATAATACTGTACTGTATATATGAAATTTGATGAGAGTATATCTTAATTGTTTTCATCACACACAGACTCCGAGGTGATAGATGTGTCCATTAACTTGGTTGTGGTCAGTATTTGGCAGTACATATGTATATCAAATCATGTTGAATGCTTTAAATATATACCATTTTATTTGTCAATTATACTCAGTAAAACTGGGAAAAAAAATTATCATTATCCCAGAAGCCCCTTCCAGTTTCTTCCCTCGAAGGGTCAGCCGCTACCCTGACTTGCAATAGATTAGGTTTTAAACTATATATAAATGGCAGGTAGTGGTTTTTAAAATCGTACATATATATGCATATACATTTACTTGTTTCTTAAGTCAAAAATATTTATAAATACATGTACATAAACGTCTGTACACATTCATACTTTTAGATTTTGCGGGGAGGGCTTGCCAATTTTGTTTCTGGCTTCCCAAGAGGACAACATTTAAATTTGTTGAGATTTCCTGCTGATATTGATTGTATAAGTAGTCCAAGTCCTCCCCAACTTATGATGGTGTTATGTCCTGATAAACCCATAAGTTGAAAATGAAACGCCCAGAGTCTAAGAGACCCCCAAAAACGAACCACCAGAGTCCAGAGTCAAAGCTAAGCAGCAAGGGTCATTTATTGCAGGTTCGAACCTGGACCTCTGTGCCCCCGTTGCCGGTGACGCCAAGAGGCCCTGAGAGAGGTTTTTACACCCCTTTTATAGACAGATACAAACAAGTCATGGGGAAATCAGGAATTTTCCACAGTTACAGAGCTGCGATTGGTTGGTGTTTAAAGTTGGACACTTAACAGTATTCGATTGGTTCCTGCCTTTAGGTCAGACCACAACTGGGGGTACGGGTATCACAATGATTGATCAGGAATACACGGATGTGCCAGGCAACAATGATTGATCAGGAGTACACGGATGTGCCAAGTAACAATGGTTGATCAAGAATATACGGATGTGCCAGGCAATAATGATTGATCAGGAATACATGGGCGCGCCAAGCAATTGTACAGAAGCGGAACAAGCTGGTTAAGCTTGGTTAGGTTTCAGTTTCCCGTAACTTAAGCTTTTAAGTTTCAATTTTCTCAGGCCTCTCAAAAATACCATTAAGTCAAAAATGCAATTAATACACCTAACCTGAACATCCTAGGTTAGCCCAGCCTACTTTAAATGTGCTCAGAACACTTAACGTGAGCACAGTTGGGCAAAATCATCTAACAGCCTATTTTATAATGAAGTGTTGACTCTCTCATATAATTTATTGAATGCTGTACTGAAAGTGAAAAACAGAATGGTTCTATGGGTACCGGTAAGTGTGTGGGTTGATTGCATGGCCTACTGGTGGCTGATGAGCCCAGCATCCTGAGAGAGGATCCTACTGCCTATCGCCAGCCTGGGGAAAGATCAGAATTCAAAGTTAAAGGTGTGGTTTCTACTGCATGCATATTACTTTTGAACCATCATAAAGTCAGGGACTGTAAGTTTGAGACCATCTGTATGCACACATTTATTACCCATTTACTACTTCTACGTATGGGCATAAAAGCATAGTTTCAAGTATGAAAACTTTTATTCTAGGTCCAGTGGCATTGCAGAGCACGGATGGTTGCAGGAGCCAATTTTTACATTGTCGGACGAGACCCCGCTGGCATGCCTCATCCCGAAACAGGGAAGGATCTTTATGAGCCAACTCATGGTGCCAAAGTGCTGACAATGGCTCCTGGGCTCATCACCTTGGAAATAGTTCCCTTTCGAGTTGCAGCCTACAACAAGAAAAAGAAGCGTATGGACTACTATGACTCTGAACAGTAAGTTTTATTGTCACAAATCTATGAAACGCCTTGTGCTCTAAGCTGCTCCCAGGGCTTTAAAGTATTGTCTCAATTTTATAATAACTTCACTTTGTTGTACAAACTTTGTTGTACACATTTCAGAGAAAGGCCAAACCAAGGAAACTAATTTCTCAGTATTCCAGCAGTTAGAAGTAGAAGTAAAAATTGAATCTGGTTTCATGCTTCATGGTTCATATATAAATGGCATGTAGTGGTTCAGTTTTTTTGTTGTAGAGTGCATAAGGGCAGTATTGACATGACTGTTTCTGCCATATCTACTGTATGTTATGGAGCATGTAGTAGAGATGATTACTCTGGTAAGCCCCAAAAATCTTAGTATTGAGAGAATTTAATAACTATGCAATCACTTATGTGATAGGCACTGTCCTAATTGCTTTATAGGCATTAAACTAATCCCTACAACAATCCTATGGTGCTATTATCCCGATTTTATAAATTAGTAGTAAGCTGAGGCATACAAAGTTCAAATAACTTTTACAAGGCCCAGAGCAGTAAATGGCAGCCCAGCAGTTGAACCCAAGCAGTGTGACTCCAGAGCCTTTGCTCTTGACCACGAAGAGTGTAACTTCTTTCTTCAAAGATCTTAGGAGGAGCAAAACACTAACAAGCTTTTAGTACAAATTATTGGTAGTGTTGAACATGTATCTGTGTCCCTTTAATGAAAAACTGTATTAATTTTTATTTATATATAATAACAATTGTTAGTACATTCTAAATTTATTTTTAAACATTTATTTATTTTTGAGAGACAGCACAAGTGAGGGAGGGACAGAGAGAGAGGGAGACACAGAATTCGAAGCAGGCTGCAGGCTCTGAACTGTCAGCATAGACCCTGACATGGGGCTCAAACCCACAAACCATGAGATCATGACCTGAGCCGAAGTCGGACACTGAACTGACGGAGCCACCCAGGCGCCCCAATTGTTAGTACATTCTAAATTTAGAGTGACACGTTAGGGCTCTAGAATAGGAAGTTATGGGTTCTAGCTCTTTCTTTTGCTGTGTGACTAGCCTTGTTTCTTCATCTCTAAAATGATGTCAGTAGATGAGTTGATTCCATCTTCGTTCAAAATCTGTAGTTCTTTCCATGATCTGTAGCATCTAGTTATTTTTACATTTTTAGCAGATACTTGTTTTGTTGATTGATGCTTTTTTAGTACAAATTACAATTCATGTGCAGCAAGTAGAATGGAGAAGTACTTTTTTATTTATGTTTTCTTACATTTATCTTTACTGATAGGTACTAATTGAAAATTGTCCATGGTCTAATAACCTTTAATCTGAGAGTGCTCATCCTTTTTTCCGTGATACTTTATAGTTAATTCTGTGTTCAGGAACAGAGAACACTGATCCTGACCCTGTGTCCTCATTTGGTGTAGCCCATTTTGTAATAATGGGGATGGACAAGAAAGAAAAAGAAACCTTTTAAAGATCAAAACATTCTCTTGTCTCTATAAGTGACATGAAGTTTGGTGTCATTTAATTTCTTTGTGATAAACGGTGAATTGGGTAAAGAAATACTGCTATTTACAGTAGAGTTTGAGAGATTTATTGGCTTTTCACTTAGGGCATAAATACTGCTGGAGAAAAAAATGCATAATTTTAGATGATAGGCTTTTCTGAGTGATGAACTGGAGCTAAAATGCAGGAAAATTTTATGAGTCAGTGAACAGAAAGGGCTTATATAACTGATAAGGCAAGTGTAAAAGAACTCCTAAGTACACTTTGGGGCCTAGGTGTGGAATTCAAGACAGGAGCTATTCTAGACTATTATTTTCTGAAAATCTGAAATGTGGTCCAGATTCTAGTATACTTCTGAACCAAACCAAGAGAAGAATTTGCAATAATCCAGACCATTTTTACTTTTATAAAAGACCAGGATTTGCCAACACATAGAAATAGTTTTAAATCATGGCATGTTTTGTTTTGTTCTGGCCTAAAAATATATAGGCCTGTGTATGTTGTTTGTATGTCTATTTATATATGTATGCATGTGTACATACACTTACATAATGTATGTGCACACAGAGCAATGTCACTGTCTCACAAACAGGGCATCTATAAGAGGGGTGTGCTGAGAGTCGCAAATGGGCCCTTCTCTTCCAAAGGGATGCCTCAGAAGCTTTAACAAGAGAATTTTAAGTAAAGGGGCACCTGGGTGGCTCAGTCGGTTGAGCATTCGACTCTTGATTTCGGCTCAGGTCATGATCTCATGGTTTGTGGGTTCTAGCCCCACATCAGGCTCTGTGCTGGCAAAAAAATTTAAAAAAAGAATTAAAAAAATAAAAACAATTTGAGTAAACCTTGAACTATATTGCCACAAAAGGTGATTGAAACTGAAAATATAAATTAAATGTTAAGGAAAGTAAAAAGTTTCCAATACAGTCCTGTCTTTTTGTGGTTAAAATTATCTAGTGCCTCCATTAGAGATTCTAATTTACTTATTTCGGGGAGAGGCCTACACCCCAGCAGTTCTTTTGTAAGCTCCCCAGCTGCAGACCCTTCAGTGTGACTCATGGAGGGTAGCATTGCTTTCTACATATTTGTAAAACATACAGTGTCAGAGACAGAATGCTGGGCTGGGAAACCCTTTACTTCTGATCCAGCATGCAGTTGTTTGTTTAGTTTGTGTACAAGATGTTATGAACATAATCTTGTTCTGAAAGTAAGAGTCACTTACAGAGTGAGGAGAGAGAAATAGAATCATTCTGCCCGTGGCCACATGGTTAAAACTTAGGTGAGTTTCCATGTCCGTGAGTTAAGGAAACAAAACTAAATAGAGTTGGGCTTTTCTTTTTCACTTCTCCTTTACTGATGTTTCATTACTGTGGTTTCTTTGCATGCATGATCAGGTGATTTAATCACCCGCAGGACCTAGAACCCATCTGTATGTAGTTGACAGACGTGCTGGGGGAAGCCCTTGATAACTTTCACGTTTTGTTAAATCTGTGTAGTATTGCTTTAAGTCTCTCTTTTAATCATTCAAAAGCTAAATAATTACATCAGTTCTCATAAGATTTTCCAGTGATGAATTCTATATTAGTTGCATGAGTGGCTCATTTTCTTGGAATTTTTTTGAGTTTACCAAATCTTAATAAATTGTAACTTGGGAAGCCTTAAAACTGCCTTAGTTTTCTGATTTTTTATATTTGTGTTCACATATAATTAAGTTGATGGGAACATGTTGGAAAGTGATTAAAATTTTGTGGAAAGGCGATAGTCTTTGATGTAGTGAGAAAACACAGTTATTAATTATGCACATATGAGGTTGTCTTATGTTTGATTAATGGATGTTATTCAATGCCAGCTTTTATGTAATTAATGATTTTGCAGCTTTTGATTTAATTAAATACTAGTGTAAGACAAGGCTTAGGGAGAACAAAAACAAACTTTATGAAGATTTCAAGTAAGATATTGATAGGAATTATGATAAAAATCATCTGTTTATACTTAGGAAGCTCAAGTAGGCTCGTATTTGCTATAATAGTGACTCAAGGAAATTTAGTTTTAGGACTACAAGACTGAACTCCATTCTTTCAGATATTACAAACAAACTTTTAGAATTCTCAGTTATTTGTAATGTTTTCTCCTTTATGCAGATCTTCTTAGTATTTGGGTAAAAAAATTCAAAGTTATGGTTCAGATTATTGAAATGGCAACTTAACAAAAAGAGCACACATGAATGAGAGTGCCTTGTGGAAATGGGTATATGAAGGGACAAGTGGACGAAAATGTTCCAGTCTGGTTATTTCCACATTATCAGTAGAGTGTTTTCATAGCTTTAATGTTGAAGTTGATATTAATTCACATACTGTTAGTGTCATTTAAAAAAATATTCTAATTATAGACACTTTTTCATATAGCTTTCCCTTCTTTTATGTGCTTTCCACAGGAAAGCTCATCTTTTCTAGTGGTTTCTGTGCAATGACTTTTAAAGCTATACTTCATTGTTTCCAAGTTGCTAATTGTGTTAGTTTTCTAGTGCTAACACATGACTACAAATTTAGTGGCTTAAAACAATCCTTACTGTCTCACAGTTTTTTGGGTCAGAAGTCTGGGTGGACTGCATTGGATTCTCTGCCCAGGCTGGGCTCTCATTTGAAAGTTCTGGAAAGAATCCATTTCCAAGGTGACCCTTGTTGGCAGAATTCAGTTCCTTGCAGTTGTGGGGCTGAGGTCCCCATTTTCTTGCTGGCTGTTGGCTAAGGATTGCTCTCTGATCCTAGAAGCCATTTTAGATCCTTTCTTCTAGACACCTCCATCCCAGCAACAGAATCTCCTTCATGCTGAATCCTTCTCCCACTCCAAATCTCCCTGATTTTCCCTTCTATTATTTGAGAAAAGTCTTTGCTTTTAAAGGGCTCCAGTAATTTAGGTTAGACCCAGGTAATTTCACTATTTTGCCATACAAATGACCTATAGTGGTAGTAACATTATTTGTCTTCATTCTTTCAAAGACCCCTCTTTTGCAGACATTCTAGAGAAGTGAGAAAGTTAAGTTTTCTAGAAGTAAAATAAAAGTAACTTTTTTCTCTGGAGGTTAATATTAGGAATAATAGATAGGACATCCTAAGGAGATGTTGTGGTATTTTCATTATAAAACCCAGTAGTACTCCTGTCCTGCCTTTTTTAATCAGTTACAACATCTGAAAGAGAGAAGACATTGGTTGGGGGGGAGGGTAACCAATATAAAGGTCCCAGTCACAACTCTAATGTGCTGGAATAGACTATATGGAAGACTTATCATTTTTAATGCCAAGGACGCCAAAGAAGCGTTGAACCAAAGAAGGCCAAAGATCGGCTCCTTCCCTCCACCTCAGAGCCCTGACCAGTTTTGACTACTCTTATGAGATAACGGACATATGTGATAGGGGAAAAGTAGAAAGAGCAAATGAGACAGTTCTTGGGAAAGAGTTCCCACAGAGCTTAGGGGAGAATAATCTGGGTCTCCCCAG